ACTCAATTCGAAAAAAAAGGTAATAACAGGTGTGTTTCGCTTGCCCAAGTGTCGTAAGAAACAACAACCAAACATAAAGCATCAATAAAACATAAGGCATTTTTATAAATATAAAACATATTAATAAAAGAGTAAAGAGAAAATTTCAAAGTTACTTTTGCCCTTTCAAAGTATTCACTTACAAATTTTTACTAAAGTATTCATATTCTGATTAAGCATGAGTTTGATTGTGCAGTGCGCAGAAAAATAAGAAAAAAATAGTCCAACCTAAATATTTTTTGATGTAATGATCGGATTTGAGCGTTCTTAGACTCAAACTTTATGGTTCAAGTTGGTTAGCTCAAATATACTAATTAATAAGTACATACGATATTTTAAGTTAAAAAATCAGACTCAAAAACGTACTTTTTCTGAATAAACATATCTTTTTCAATGGATTCAAATTTCTGATTCCCAAAATAATGGGGCAAGCCGTCAATCGTGGAGATATGATCCCAGTAGTTTGGTCAGAAGAGCGCTTCATAGTTTGGACCCCCTTAATATTAATTTCACTTTTTGCGCACTTTTTAAGTGAATTTCAAAAATTTTACACTCAATTATTAAATTACTTTTTCCAAACTAACTCAATGCGAAAGATGACTTTTAGTGAATATTTATTATTTTTATAAATTTATTTAAGAATAGTCGAAAAAATTTGAATAATAAAGTGTACAACTTCTGACATTATTTTAAAGTACGTAATTCTACATGACAAAATACAACTTTAAGCAAAATCGGTTGAATAATTCTTGGAAAACCGAATTTTAAGCGTCGTAATTTTTTTTAATTAAATTTCACAGGAATTATTCAAAAGATTTTGCTCAAATTTTGTATTTATCCATGTAAAATTATATTCTCTAAAATGATGCAAACAATTTTATACCTCAAAATTCTAAATTTTTCTGACCATTCTTAAATAAAATTAAATAATAAATATTTACTAAAAGTTATTTTCTTGAATGGAATTATGTTTGGATAAACGATTTTTAAGAAGTGTAAAAACGAATGTAAAAAATTGAAGTGTAAAAAATACGAAAATACGAAGTGCAAAATATTTTCAATTCGCTTTAAAAGTTCCCGAGATACAGCAAAATTCGCAAGAAGTAAAACTAACAATATGGGGTCCAAACTTTAGAGCACTGCCCTGAACAAATTATTGGGACTACCTATTACAGATTGCGGCTACTCTCTCTATTTTGTGGAAGTCAGAAAGCTGAATCAGTCAAAAAAGAGGAATGTTTATTCAGAAAAAGTGCGTTTTTGTGTCTGATTTCGCAACTTAAAATATCGTTTGCACTTATTAATTAGCATATTTGAGTTCACCACCTCAAGCACTAAGATTGAGTCCTAAAACGCGAAAATCCAATCATTAGATTAAAAGTTATTCAGGGTGGACTGTTTTTTTAGCACTGTACATCAATGTTGCCAATCTAAGATAACTCACAAAAGAAATTTGACCATAAAATAAAAAAAAGCTATTCACTCTAACCCCAGGTAAATACTAATTCCCTCTAATTTACGAGATGTACATAATTTTTTTAATATCTTATTTTTTGAAACTCTCTCTATGTTAACTATATGCGCTTATCATAATTGTGATCCTAATAATGTATTGATTTAAAAAAAATATGAAATGAGATTATATTTCATCATGTATAACTTTTCATTATTCACTTTACGTTTATGTGTACATGAGAATGATATTAATCGAATAGAAAAATTTCACAGCAGTTGTTACATACACAAGATAATTTTCTCTGTTATCAAATCTAATTAATGAATATAATTTGAACAACATCTTCATTTTATTTAAGGAACTTCATTTGATAAAAATAATATTTCCATTAAAAACTGTATAAATAATTACTAAAGATTAATGGAATAACAAAGATTATGAGAATGAATTTTGAATATCAAACTTCTAAATACTACCAGTTGCTTTTGCATATTTCTAAGCGAAGCCGTGCCACCTGCAATGGCAGACAGGTACACATAGATAAGTTATAGAATCCTCGAATCATAAAAGCTTTACGAGTGAGTACATATTCAAAAAATAAACTATATTAAAAACTATTTTATTGAAATATTTTTTAAACTATTATATAGAAGTAAAACCGATTGGAATTTAGAATTTTAAATCAACTATAATACAATGAGTAATACCATTTTCCACTTAATTATTTATATATAGAAATTTATATGATATTTCTAAGCATTGATGTATCAGTTATACAGATAATGAGCTTACACTTTAAAAATTTCTATGTACAGTGTGCGAACGGAAAAAATTGACAATTCTGAATAACCTTTGATCTAATAATCGGATCTTCACATTCTAGCTCTAAATATTAATGATTCGAGGGGGTAGCTTCAAATATGTTAATTAATTAGTACAGACGATATTTTAAGTTACAAAATCATACACAAAAACGTTCTTTCGCTGAATAAATACAACTTTGTTTCAATGGATTTGGAGTTTTGATCCCTTAAATATAGGGGGGTTGCTTCAATTTGAGAAATATGGTCCCAATAGTATGATAAGCAGAGCACTCCAAAGTTTTGACCCCTTAATATTAACTTTACTTTTTTCGTACTTCTTCATGTCTCGAGAAGTTCAAGCGAGTTGAAAAAATTTGGCAAACAATTTAAAAATTCGTTTATCCGAAAATATCTCCGTGAAAAAAATACATTTTAGTAAATATTTATTATTTTTTAATAAATTTATTTACTAATAGTCGATAAAATTTTCGAATAGTAAGGTATACAATTACTTACATCATTTCAAAGTACGTAAATTTATATGGCAAAATACAAAATTTGCGTCAAATTTGTTGAATAGTTCCTGAGATATCAAATTTTGAAAAAGACGTACATATAAAACTCGATCTTCTCAGAAACCTTTCGACCGATTTCACCCAAATATTGTATTTTGCCTCGCAAAATCATATACTTTAAAATGATGTAAAAATTGTATAGCTTGCAATTTAAAAATTTTCGACTGTTATTAAGCAAAATAATTAAAAATAAATAAGTATTTATTTAATATGTATTTTTCGCATGAAATTATTTCAGGAAGAACCAATTTTAAAATTGGGTGCAAAAATTCTTCCATCCACATCTAAAAGTTTTGAGAAATAGCGAAATACTCGAAAAGTAAAATTAAAATTAAACATACAGAACTTCGCCCGAACTAGTAGGACCATATTTCCTAGATTATAATTAGATTATTATTATATTATTATATTCCTAGATTAGATTATTATTATATTTTTATATTCCTAGATTAGATTATTATTATATTTCCTACTTATAATTCGTGGGTCAGAAATCCGAATCCATCGAAAAAATTGTATGTTTATTCAGAAAAAGTATGTTTTTGTGTGTGATTTTGAAACTTAAAATTTCGTATGTGCTACATAATTAACATGTTTGAAATCACCCCTCAAACTGGATTGAGTGCTGGAACGTAACGATCCGATCATTAGATAAAAAGTTATTCATAGTGGTCCGTTTTTTCAGGTGGAGGGGCATTGTACTATTTCTCCGATGCTGAACATTCCAAAAAAATGTGTAAGGATATGATGGCAAAACTTTTACACCACTCTGGTGCAAAACATTTGCCATAATTGTTAGTGTTGGGTTCTAATTTTTTTGTACGGTGTACAGAAAGTTACAAATACTCCTTTATCAGAAATTAATTTACATGGAAATGTTGCGGGCGTATAAATTAAGAGAGATTTTGTCTCGCTAAATAATACGAAGTCAATATTACATTCTAAATGTTAAAGCGACAATTTATTTCTTACTGACATTTTAATCGAAGTGTTTCCATATTAATAAATTAATGATTTCCATTAATGCAACTAACTGCATTTCAAAAATCATTTGATTAAGCATCACCTGGAAATTTTAAATTAAGATATAATTTTTAATGATACATATTTACTTGATTAAATCTATCTCAATATTTCAACTTATCTGATTTAAATATATTGTCAAACATGTTTCCTCAAGATAAGCACTCTATGTGTTTCATAGCATTTAACATTTAAAATGAATGCCTTTGGGATTAAAAGTACTTTAAATGTCTTCATTAGAACTGTTTTGAGCTATTTGCATCGGAATTTCTAATTAGGCTTGTCAAATAAATATTTTATTCTATCTTTCTGAACGAAAATGCGTAGAATGATAAAAACATAATTTTTATTTCAAACTTCCCATTGAATTTATTAGATTTTTTTTACCAAGGAATAAAAAATTAATAAATGTGTTTTTATCAGGAAATGAATTATGTCAAGCAACATATAAAGGACATTTTTAAATTTTTTTGAAAATAACTAAATGAAAAGCTAAAATCTCGATATAATTTTCGTCATCTAAAACCTTTCCACGATTTTAAAACCGTATTTTTCTCTCATTCATATAACTAATTAGTTAATTAAATGTTAGTTGGTTTCGATATCTAAGTTCAATTTTATTTTATTTTATAACCGTCGTTGAACAGCCGATCCAAATTTTGGATTTACGACTACTAATATTTATTAATTCTCGTAAATGTAATTAAAACACAACTTCAGTATATTTTCAAAAAGAACAACATCTACCTTTATTTACAAACGACTACTAACTAAAGTGTTGCCATGCAAAGACAACTAAGTCCTTTTACTTAATCTCGTTACTAGGTTAATTACAGGCGTGCAACATCCTCCCCGCCCTGGTCAACCTCCAGGGGGATGACCATCTGCATGGGTCGGGAAATTGTCCCTCCATTTACACGCAGTATGCATGTACGGGCTTTGTTGTCACGGCCCAAGATTACTGACTCGACGTGTGCTTTCCTCCGGATGGGCCGAGGTCTGACGTCCTCCTGCAACAAGACCACATCTCCGACCCGGATTACAGTACCTTTAGATGGGACATGGTGAAATGTTTTCAAGTCCATCAAATACTCCTTCGGCCATCTATCTCCACCAAGCCGCACGTGGGGCGATGAATTTCCATGTCATGTTGTGATGAGCATAAAACTGGTGTATCTTGGAAGAGGATATGATGTTCCACAAGGACCTCAACTCCTTGTCTGCAGCACCGAATGTTGTGGCGTTATCTGTGTACACAGTATGAGGAAGGGAGCGTCGAGATACGAACCGTTGTAGCGCAAGTAAGAAAACATCAGTGCTTAAATTAGACACTACTTCCAAGTGGATGGCTCGAGTTACAGCACACGTAAATATGACTATGTAGGCCTTTGTAACCAATTTTTCGTTTTTAACATAGAGGGGTCCGGCATAGTCAATTCCAGTTGCTTCAAATGGGGTCGACTTTTGAATTCTTTCAGCGGGTAATGGAGCTTCTATCTGTTCACCACGCTTTTGCTTCAGTATCTTGCAAGGAAGGCAAGTGTGTATGACCTTTTTAATGGCTTGTCTTGCTCTTAATATCCACCATTTAGAACGAAGCTGAGAAAGCACAATCCTAACTTCTAGATGGTGCATTTTTAAGTGTGTGTGGCGTATGAGCAGGCTTGCAAAAGGGTGCGAACCTTCCAATAAGATGGGGTGTTTTTCCGATTCAGATAAGTCAGAAAATTGCAGTCGGCCTCCAAGACGTATTATGTTGTTGTCAAAAAGTGGGTTGAGTTTTTCTATTTTTGAGTTCTTGGGAAGTGACTTTGATTTCGACAAGGCTTCATATTCTAAAGGAAAAGATTCCTTCTGAATGGTTTGTATCCAATAGTTGCAAGCTTGATTCAGTTCCGTGGCATTCAATTCACCAACCATCTTTTCTTGTGTTTTGCAGTTGTGAATAAAGCGAAAAATCCAAGATGTCACGCGTAACAATTTAAAGTAAGAGCTGTAGGTTCCAGCATTGATAATTCGCAGAGTAGAGACAGTGTAAAGAGTCTGCACTTTCTTCTTCTTTAATTCTAAGTTGTGAGTGTAGTCTTCATAAGTGTTGTTAGAATCAGGCCAGTTTTCAGGTTTGATCAACCACTTAGGACCATGCCACCAGATGTCTTAGAGTTGATGGTGAAGTACCTCTTGATAATATATCACCAGGATTGTCCTTTCCAGGGCAATGTCTCCATTGGGAAGGATTAGTATGAGAAACAATTTCCGTTACTCGATTGCAAACAAATGTCTTCCATTTATTTGGGTCACTGCGAATCCAACCCAAAACTACTTGGGAATCACTCCACAATATTGCATTGGACATAGGAATATTAGTTTCAGCACAGAAGTATCGCAACAATCGAGCTCCCATCAGAGCCGCTAGCAGTTCCAAGCGGGGCAAGGTGACTTTCTTGATAGGTGCAAGTCTGTTGCGACTACACACTAAATGCACGTTTGCTTGATCACCATGAGAACTAACTGTGTATAAAACTGCTCCATAGGCTCGTTCAGATGCGTCGCAAAACACATGAATAGTAAAGGGAACGTGTGATGAAACGCCTATAAATCGAGGAATTTGAAAGGAGCAAACGTCATCAAGTTCTCCAATAGCAGCATTCCATGAAGTTGCCAAATTAGAGGGCAGTATTTCGTCCCATTTAATTCCTAGAATCCATGTGTCTTGAAACAGAATTTTTCCAAAAATTACAAATGGAGAAAACAGTCCTAAAGGATCGTAGAAGCTAGCAATACAGTGGAGTAGCCATCTCTTTGTAAGTGGTTTGTCTTGAACAGCGCAGAGAGAGGTTTTGAAAGTATTTCCGAGGGTGTCAGTTTCTGTATTCCACTCTATGCCTAAAACTTTAACAGTTGTTTTGAATCCTTCATCTTGATCTCGTAATTGGTTCTGAAGCATTGTTGAGTTTGTAGTCCATTTCTCCATTGGAATTTCAATCAATTGCATCAATTCTTTGACTTCTTTATGCAGTGTGGTGATTTCAGATTCTGTTTCAACACTAGCAACAAAATCGTCCATGTAAAGATGTTTATCGATCATGGGAGCAGCAATCGGGAATTCATTCACGTGCTTTGAAGCCACTTCACGTGTTGCAGCACATAACAAAAAGGGGCTGCATGCTAGTCCGAAAGGTAGACGAGTAAATCTGTAAGTAATTATTTCGTCCGTGAAAGATGGGTTAGTTTTGTCCTGTGCTAGTCTGTACCAGAAAAATCTTGTGGAATCTCTATCTCTTTCGTGTAGGCTTAGTTGTAGAAAGGCCTTTTTTCCGTCACCTGTGATTGCAAATTTGTGCATTCGCAGTCTGAGTAGACAACCAATTGTCTCAGGTAAAAGATTTGGACCGATTTCTAAAGTATCATTCAGTGAGGGCATTCCTGGATCATGTGATGAGATATCGAACACAATCCTCCATTTGGTCTCGTTAAGTTTCACTTTTTTGAAAGCATGATGGGGTAGGTGAAATACAGCGTTTAAATTCGAAGGTTCTAGCTCGTAAACTTCAACGTGTCCTTGCACAATGTACTTTAGCATGCAACTATCGTATTCTTTCTTCATAGCATCATTGTATGCAAGTCGTTTCTGGAGAAACTTCAAACGTTTTTCGGTAGTAGCTATGTTGGTAGACAAAATTGATGTTGTATGCTTCCTAGGCAGAGATAAAACTCTACGATTTCCCTCAGTTTGGTAGGTTTCGTGAAATTCTCTCGTAATTTCATTCTCTCGAACAGTCTTGTTCCGTATTTGAGTGTCTTTGATACCAATACAATCCAACTCCCACAAGCAACGCACTTCGTCGTCCAAACAATCACCAGAAATTTGAACAGAAACATGGTGAACTGATGAATCATGTTTGATGGTTGTGTGTGTTCGTGACCCATTAAGGATCCATCCAAAAATAGAGGGTACTATGGCAAGAGATTCTGTAACTTTAATCGGGGGTTCCGTAGTGACCACATGCCAATAATAATCACCACCAATGAGCAATTCGATGGGTAAGTTGTCGTCTCCTGGAGGGTCTGCAAGTGTTAGTTTTCGGCTTCGAGCAAATCGAACAACGTCCGCAGGGGCAGCAGGGTGTGAGGTATATCTGTTGGAACTTTCGAAAGCTGTTATAGAAACAGAGTTTTTGTTCCATAAACTTGAAAGTGAAAGTTGCACACATCGTCGCATGTTTCGTGAAGTACTGGGAGATTCAAAAACATGTACATTTAGTTGCTCAGTGCTTACAATTGGGAGTTTCAGTTTGTCAATGAGGTTTGCATCGACAAAGCTTGTCTGGCTACCTCCATCCAAAATGCATCGGGTTAACTTCGTAAGACCTGTGGGTCCAGTAACATACACGCGTGCAGTTTGTAAATGGGTAAAGCTAGTTTTAGGTATGTTGATGTGATGAACCTCACTATTTTGGATCGCAGTGTTTAGTGCAGATGAACAAATGGATACGTGGTGTTTCTTCTTGCATTTTGTACAGCGAGCAGTATCTTTTCGAGGGCAATTTGTCATTCTGTGTCCTCTATTAGTACATAAGAAACAACGGTTAGAGCCTTTTAACTTTTGTATGCGAGTGTCATAGTCAGTTATGGTTTCGCATTTCTGAGCCCAATGACCAGAAGATTCACAAAAGGGGCAAAATGGGGTATAATTCTTTTTCTTGTGTACAGAAGTGGACTTATTATTTACGTTAAAGGCAGTAGTTGGAGTAAACGGTTCAATAACGTCACCTTTTATTTTTGACGTAGTTAATGCTCCTTGCACTTCTTGTGATAAGAACTCCATCATTTTCGTAATGTTTCCTTCGGCCAATTTTTCTCTTTGGGCATGAATGATCCACTGTTTACAAATGTCGTCTGGAAACGCTCGTAGTAATTTTGGAGCTAATACACGACCGTAACTGTCAATGTCTTCACCAAGTGCGCGTAAGGCCTGCAATCTTCTATTACATTCAATGTAGGTTTCATTTAAGGCTGTTGCCGATGAGTTGCGTACTGGTGTTAGATTTTCCAGAAAGTCCAAATGTGCTTGGATAATTCTATTTTTGTCCCCATATCTATCCATTAGTAGCTTTTTAGTGGTTTCATATGTGGCAGCAACAATACTGATACCATCAACTAAACGTCTTGGTTCGTCTTGCAAATAACCTCTTAAGAACACATGTTTGTCAATAGTTGAAAGGTTTGGATTGGAGTCTACAGAAGATTGGAATTGTTCCCAAAAACTTTGCCAATTTTCAATTTCACCGCCAAATGGTTCTAATTTAATCGTCGGTAGTTTCACTGTGTACGTTGGGCTAACAGGTGTTATCTGACCAGCAAGTGATGGATTAGTATCCGAATTAGTCGCCAAATTGGCATTTTCAGTGCCCAAATTAAGATTATAGCTAGCGTTAATAGTTGGCGATAGTTCATTTTGGATGTATTTTCGGGCTTTAAAAATTGCGCGCTCAGCACTTTCTGTATAAGTTTCACATTGGGTAATGTCATTTTCATATTCATCATCCGTAAAAAGAACATGGATTTCATTATCAATCGTTTTCATTTCATTTAAAATAGTTGTTAAACGACTTACCGCATATTCCATATCTTCATTCAAAGTATCGTCTGTCATGTTGTCAATCTCAGTTGAGAAACGAGTTATGTTGCTTCGAATAGTTTTTCGTTTCCGCTTCAATTGCGACACTTGTTCTTCTTTCGTCGCCATTTTTCTTTCGTGGAGATCAAAATTCGCAATAGTAATAGTTTCGTTAAAAACTTTTGGCGTCGTTCCAAGTCGCTGATTCGTATGAGTATTTCGGCACCAGATATTAATTCTCGTAAAGAACAACATCTACCTTTATTTACAAACGACTACTAACTAAAGTGTTGCCATGCAGAGACAACTAAGTCCTTTTACTTGATCTCGTTACTAGGTTAATTACAGGCGTGCAACAATATTCAACTCCATGGACTTGTAATTTTGAACTCAATCCAGAAGACAAGGGAACTCCTGGATCAAGTATTGGGATAAAATTTGCCTTCGTGGAGGACTTTCTGATGGAAATAACCCGTGTCTGCGTTACATTGAGAGGAAGACCACGAGAACCTCCCACGGTTTTCTTGACGGCAAAGGGACTCTAACCCATGATCCATCTACCACTGAGGATATTTCACGTCAGCACAGCGGTCTGTGCAAGCCGGATGAGGAATTCATATTGACTGGGATTCGAACCCGGTTCGCCTCATTGGAGGGCGAACGCTCTATCCCCTGAGCCATCGTAGTATCTAAGTTCAATTAGGAGGATTTTCTTAAAGTTCTAAGAGCTTAAGAATATTTAGCAGTTTTTCTTTTTTTTTAGCGTAAACATAGAAACATAAAAGGTTCAAATTTTAACACGTTAACGCCGGGCGTTGCACCTGAAAGCGAGGCGGAAAAGAGAAAATGCTGGTAGAAGAACTATTTCAATATTAGATAATATTCGGGAGGAGTTAATCTATTCTCAACAATAACAATTCACTGTAAGGAAATTTATTACGGCGAAGAAGCAATTCAATATAAAAATTCAATCCGTTAAAAACAATTGGTAGTTATGGATTTTTATTATTCCCGGAAAAAAACTTTAAAAAAATGAAATTTATTTGTTACCAGATTTTATTCCGGTGAGCCGCCCGATGAGACAATCTAGCGAAACCCACAGGTGGGTCACCCCGGCATGAAGGTGTTAAATGACCTAAGTAATACTTTACTTTAAATCCAGTTGGACATCTACTTATTGTTTAATCATGCATGATGGAGAAGTGGTGGTTGAGGGAATAAAGTGCTTGCCTCTCAATAAAAAGGAACCGGGTTTGAATCCCAGCAATGGCTGGTTGATATGCATTCCGCATGTGACTCACACCGACCCCAGTGCTGACGTGAAATATTCTCAGTGGTTAATGGATCAGAGGTAAGAGTCTCCTTACCGTCAGTTGAACCACGGGAGTTTTCCGTGAAGAAATTCATCAAAAAGTTCGCCACGAAGGCGAATTTCTCCCAATATTTGATCCAGAAGTTTCCTTGTCTTCTGGATTTGGTTCAAAATTACAAGGCTACGGAGTACGGCTCGTAAACTCTAAAATTAAATGGCGGTTCAACGACGGTTATAATAAAATAAAATCATGTATAATAATCATGATGACGAATATCAAGACTGCAGAAAATTATGCAATATTATGGATGTGAACGATTCAAAACTTCGCTTATTTATATAATACTGTAATTGTATCCTATAAAAAATATGGTGTATTTTATTTTTATCACTAATCCGATATCTCCAAAATCTAATTAAAAATGCCTTTTTTATTACCTTGTTTAATAAAATCTATTCTAAAAGCAATTTTTAAGACATTTACTTTACATACTAAGCATTTATACTTAAATAGAAAAGTTTATCAATGTAAACAATTAGTTAAATAACAATAAGTAAAAATCCTTCTGTATTTATTTGATTAAGAACTATGATTATTATTTTATGTTATCTCCAGTAAATGTTGAATGCATAATTATGAATCTTTAAGTTAAAGGATATCTTTTTGAATAATGGAATTTTAATGCTTATTCGCAAGCAAAAGAACGAGATTTAATTCGATACCCGTATGAAACGGCATGGATACTTACATAAATTGAAATTAACTATCAATTCGATGTGTGATTTCATAATCGATAACTATATTGGGCGATCATATTGTAACTAATGAATTCTTGTAAGTTAATGAAATATGTGCTTAATGCTTAGCAAGATAAAGGAAAAGAAACTGAGAAAAAAAACAATACTAACAGCTCTAACACGTCATCTTGTTTCTGAACAACCATCTGGCTTTTGAGGTTATAGAGTAGGTGGTTGAGTACCAGCAACCTGCTTCTCCTTTGAGTTAAGAGCATGCGAACGACAAAACTTTGTTTTAAAAGTATTTCAATGAAAAAAATTACTATAAGCGGGAACAGCTTAACTGTGAAAAATGTCTAATTGGAAAATATTTTTTAATAATTTCCATGATTGGAAAAAATAAGTATATAAGGTTTCATTTTCCTATCTGTGATGTCTAACTTCAAACTTCAAATTTAGATACTTAATGCACCTTAATTCTTTATGTATTAATTATTTCGAGGCTCAACCGGGCTTTATATTAATTTAGAGACGTTAAAACTTTCATATTTTCCATCGAAGTATTTCATTTTTCATAATGCAGCTTTTATGAATGAAATCATATTCTAGATAAGATATCAATTTTTTCCTGCTTAATAAGGTGAGTTATTCTAATTTTGTATAATTTTCAACTTTCTTGGAGTTAAATTTTTATAAGCTGGAAGTTTAAAAAAAGCAGCCAATTGTAAGAATAATTATAATCTTAAGGTTGTTAACTGACTGAATTTTTTCTCTTGTGGAAAAAACTTCCAAGCTCATAGTTTTCATTCTTTTTGGAGAAAAAAAATGTATTTTATGTCATCGATGTTTTAAGTCATTATTTTTAACATGAAGGAAAACTTTAGTCCCCGTTAGTAATTGATACTTAACAAGCTGCCTATAAAATAGAAAGTATTAGTCCTCTTAAAAGAGGAAAATTGCTACTTGTATTTTTTCTTACTTCGGGATTTCTGAAAAATATTGACAGTCAAACACATTTTTCTTTTTGTCTAGCCTGAAAACAGTGATAAGGGGGAGCTAAGTAATGGGGGTGGGTTTAAAATAGGGGGGAGATAAAAAACCGTTTTATTATTTAAATTTCAATGTACTGTTTTACAAGATTATTCTGATTTTCGTTATCTTTGGAGAATAAGGCTTATAATCATTCTTGACGAAAATACAATTCCCATATTTCGTATCTTACAAGTCAAATTTATCAGTATTTGAAGCATTTTTTTTATTTATGATAATATTTTTTCAATATCTATGCATCGTATTAAAAAAAGGAAAATATCAAGAAATATCAACTTCATTAAAACATTTTTTTTTGCTTTTTCAAGTTTTTCAAGTGAATTTTCATTCATTTTTTTCAATAATAAATTTGTTAAGAAAATTATAAATATAAAGGTATATAAAGGTACTAGATATAAAGATATAAAAATAAATTATGAATGAATAATATGAAGATAAATATAAAGGTATTAGATAAGTCTAATTATTACAAACTTTTGTGTTGAAATGTCCATAGATAAATAGGATGATATTTTATATATGCATTTAATTCTTATGCATTTTATTTTATAACCAGCGTTGAGCAGCCGACTCAATTCTGAGTTTATAGCTATCAATGTTCAACTCCGCAGCCTTGTAAATTTGCTGTCCTTTAATTTGATGTCCTTTTAAAATGACCATAGAAAAAACATAACACACTCGCAAAATTAAACCAAAGGATAAGGGAACTCTTGGACAAATAATTGGGAGAAACTAGCCTTCATGCGTAGCACTTTTGAATTTAATTAAACCCCATTTCCGTTATGTGGACAAGAAAAAAATGAAAACTTACCACCTTCTGCCCTACAGTAAGAGGGTTCTAACCCAGTAGATATATTGTCCTTAGAGAATTGAAAATATTTAAAAAATAAAATGGTTACATTTTTTAAACTATGTTTAACTTTCTATTACACCTACTGTAAAATACTCTTAATTTAAAATAACCATAGAAAAAAAGCAAGCACAAAATTAAAATATGCACAAATTTTAGAAATTTTTATAAGAGCAGTCTGAAATGTTGCACCTATATTATTTACAAGTAGTATTCTTGCTATTTCATGAAATAATTTAGCGAATAAATATTTCTTCTACAATTCTCAGAGCAAGATTCTTCATTGGTGTTTTGATATTGAATCTAAATAAGAAGTATCTTGTAATTTTATATCCATAGCAACTTATGATTATATAAAATGCGATTAAGAAAATCATAAATACCTAAAAGTATAGCTTTGAGTTCTAAATGGCCAATAACTTTCTCTAAAATTAAATTTTTCGACAGAAATTTCCACTTGTTCAGCTATAACTTTCATTTGCACTTCAAAAAATCTGTTATCTTTCCGATAAAGGATGTCCAGACAACGGGGGAAGATATCTCAAAAAAGTTTTGACGTGTAGAAAGAATTTTTTTAAAAGAAAAATGGTAAGAAAAATATAAAAGAAATATGAAAGACTAGGCGTATAAGGTGAATTTACTCCAGCCTTTTTATTCCATTTTCAGAAACGTTTTCTCTAATATAAAATATGTTCACAATTTTATTGCTCTTTAAAAGTTTTTATTCTTCAAATTTTTAATCAAATAAGAGATAAGAGTAAATGCGTGTAAGATAAAAAAATATATATATTTTTTCAGCCAATAACTGCAAAAAATAAACTTAAAACGAATAATAAAACGGTATTTTAAACGTATTTAAATCGCAATAAAACGTATTTCAAACGAATCTATTGCTTAATATTATGTTCTCGGGTTGTTTCAAAAATGAATGATTATTTGAAAAATCTTTAAAGGAAAAAAAAGAAGGAGAGAAAGATGTACAGAGCGAAAACAAACGGAATAATGATCTAATGATCAGAGTTTTAAGCACTAAGAATTAAACTTAACAGTTCTAGGTTTTCATGCTAAATAACCAATGTTAATTTCTGCTGGTAATATTTTAAATTGCGAAATCAGATATAAAAATGTACTTTCTCTGAATAGGCGCATTTTTTCCAACGGGTTTGGGCTCTTTACCAGAATGCTGAAATCTGGAAAGTATTGTTCTAATAGTTTAGTCACGAG